ATATACTTATAATAATATATTTAATATACTTACAATTAATAAAATACTTAATATATGTAATATACTTTTAGCATACATAATATGCTTGTACTTAATATATTTAATATTACTTATACCGTCTAAGATGCACTAACATAAGTATTAAAATTTATTAGTGTTTTTTTTTTTTTTTTTTTAAGACGATTTCATCAAATTATAAATTAATCATCTTTAGGAAATGAGACGATAAGAATAAGATTGCATCGATCGTCACACGATCGATTTTAGAAAACAATCAGCGTGGACGGTTTGCCGATTTTCGAATTTACTACATGTAAAACGCGATTTACAAATATTTTGCTAATGCGAAACATTAGCAGGCAAGAATGTTAAACGGCGTTGTCAGATGTTTGTGGTTTCATGTTCACGTTTGTAACAGGCGAGTCCCAGAACGGCGGGTTTCCTCGCCAGAATAGCGGCAATGCGTGGAGCACAGGCAGGCATCTCGGTTATCTAGGAGCGCATGCTCGACGCATCTTCGTTGACAATATCCTGAAGAGGGTGACTAACAGTCTTGCAGCAGATTTAAGAAGACGCGCAGCGAGCAGGCTTGTTTTTGGCGATTCCGCGCCATTCTTCGCTCTCGTCGGCGTGTCGTTGGCGTCAGGTACTGGGATATTGACCAAGGATGACGAGCTGGAAGGGGTGTGCTGGGAAATTCGGGTAAGTTTGTCGATTTGTTTTAGTCTGGATACTTAAATAAGATTTGCCGATAAAAAATCTGATTGGACTTGTATAATTTGATTTGACCTGAAATACGATACGTTCTGCAGGAAGCAATTTCAAAATTGCGATGGAATACGCCGCAGACTGACAAAAATTATGAAATTATATGTATCAACGAGAATACCGTGAGCTTACGAAATTTTGTAATTGGGCCTATTATTGCTAAGGGTTGCTCCGCCGCTGTGTACGCAGCACAATTTGTCGATGCTGCACAGGACGAAAATAACGATTCAACAGATATCGATGGAGAAGCGAAAGAAGAAATAACTGCGTTCCCGTTAGCCATAAAAATGATGTTTAATTACGATGCCGAATCTAACGCATCTGCTATTCTGAGAGCCATGTATAGGGAGACGGTACCTGCTAGAAGACATTATGGAAACAACGAATTGGCTATCTGGGAGCAGAGACTGGCAGAGAATACAATGACGCTGCCATCTCATCCAAACATTGTGGTGATGTATTACGTCTTCGCTGATAGAATACCGATGCTACCCGGTTCTTGGGGAATGTATCCCGATGCTTTGCCAACTAGAATCAATCCTAACGGGTCGGGCAGGAATATGAGTTTGTTTCTAGTGATGAAAAGGTCATTATTGGACAAGACAGAATCGCGTTGGTAATTTCATACACTTTGCATAATATCTGACGCATGTCGCATACCGGTTTTAGATATGATGTCACATTAAAACAATACATGGCGAATCGAAACATCGATACGCGGGTGTCGATATTATTGCTTGCTCAGCTATTGGAAGCGGTAGCTCATATGAATGCAAACAGCGTGGCACATCGGTAAGATTAGCGATTACATTGTTATTAATCTTACCTTGTTATGTGTTATTTACATGTTGACATTGAATATAGATAAGATTCATTTTATATTCTCTCTTTTGTGTTTACGAATTAGAGATCTGAAAAGTGACAACATCCTACTCGATTTGTCGGAAGAATCTGACATTTGTCCGTCCTTGGTCGTAACGGATTTTGGCTGTTGTTTGGCCAATAAGAATCACGGACTATATCTACCTTACAACACTCATGATATCGATAAAGGCGGCAATGTTGCATTAATGGCTCCGGAAGTTATAATGGCAGAACCCGGCCCTTTTACCAGTATAAATTACACCAAAGCCGACTTGTGGACGGCTGCTACTATTGCATACGAGATATTCGGGATGAAGAATCCGTTTCACGGAGAGAAAGGCGAGAAAGCTGCTTTAAACAATTACAATTATACGGAGAATGCGCTTCCCGCTTTACCGGATAATCTGCCGTTAATTATCAACGCTCTTATCAAGAACTCATTATTAAGAAGTGTATACAAGGTTTGTAAGACAGATGATGATCCGCTCGAAAAAAAATAATTTTTTAAAATTATATTAATTTTTATTATATTATAAATATATATAATTATATTTTTAATTATATTTATTATAT